GAAAATTAAAAAAATGCTGGGAGAAGATAGGATTATGGATTTCCTTAAACGATTTTTTTTCAAATAAGAAAATTTAAAAATTCAAAAAAGGCTGGGAGAAGATTGCCTTATTTTTTATCAAACTAATATCAAATCAAAATAAGAAAAATTATTCCAAAAAAACTGTAAGTAGAATAGAGTCAGAGTGATGGGTATTGTTTTTGTTTATATATTTAAACTAAATTAAATAATAAAAAAGGAAAATTCCAAAACAAATGTAACCAAAACATGAAAACAATAAAAAAACAATAGAAACCAGTTTGGAAGCAAATTTGATGAAAGAGCCAGTGTCAGCCTTGTTTTTTTTTGCAGTTGATTGAAGTTGATTGTGTTTTTTTGACCAGAACTTAAAACACTAGCAAAAAACTTATTCGATTTTTTTATTTTCAAATAAGCTTATTTGATTTTTTTGTGGCTTGTGTCCCCTGGTTTTTTTTTGTGTTTTTGATTAAAAAAAAGAAAAGTTGGGGGACAGAAATTGATTATAATTGGTTTGTGTCCCCCACAATTTGTTTTTTTATCAAAAGCACAAAAATTAAAGGACCGGATAACCCCACAAGTCAACTTCTTCCAATAATGAGTTTCAAAGGTTGTAGCGGGGTCGGAGAAGGAAGGAAAGACAAAGGAGGTGGTGAAAGATCGAGAAGGTAAAACGGTAGGTATGTATGTATGTATGTATGCATGACAAATGCAACTGCAGTGCGCCGACTTTTTCTCGTTGCGAGCAGGCCAATGTTAATCCCGTTCGAGCAGAGACACCTGGTCACATTCTTGCAATGTCAATTCTTGCAATGTTCATCCGCCAAACCATTGCGCCAAACCAATGTCAAAGCATGTCAGCTCCAGCTGTCACGGAACAAATCTAGGAGAGTTTGTGGACGATTCCAACTGGTGAAGTATGAAGACAGCCGCAGCCTGCCCTAAGGTCACAGGCCCGATCACGATGCAAGGGCGAAAAAGTACCTGGCCGCAAAAGGACAGAACGCGTATATGCAGCTAGCTATCAAAGCAACATGCGTAGAAACGATACAATTCAGTCTGCAGCACATGTCACGAACGGTTTTGATTTGGCCGTCGCAACCCCACTCTTCCCACATGGGGTTAACAATGGGTCTAGGAGAAAACGAAGAGAGTACTACGCCTGCCACGCAAAACGACGGTAGATGTGAGTTCGTGCCACGCCTGCCACGTGATATCAAGGTGGATGTCACCAAGTGCCACGCCTGCCACGCAAGTGCCACGCCTGCCACGCAAAGTGGCGCGGCGCCCAGGCGACAAAGCGGGACCAAGCGCGACACACAGTACCATAAGTGCCACGCCTGCCACGCAAAGCGACGGTAGATGTGAGTTCGTGCCACGCCTGCCACGTGATATCAAGGTGGATGTCACCAAGTGCCACGCCTGCCACGCAAAGTGCCACGCCTGCCACGCAAAGTGGCGCGGCGCCCAGGCGACAAAGCGGGACCAAGCGCGACACACAGTACCATAAGTGCCACGCCTGCCACGCAAAGCGACGGTAGATGTGAGTTCGTGCCACGCCTGCCACGTGATATCAAGGTGGATGTCACCAAGTGCCACGCCTGCCACGCAAAGTGGCGCGGCGCCCAGGCGACAAAGCCGGACCAAGCGCGCCACCCAGTGCCATGAGTGCCACGCCTGCCACGCAAAACGACGGTAGATGTGAGTTCGTGCCACGCCTGCCACGGGATATCAAGGTGGATGTCACCAAGTGCCACGCCTTGGTGGGCCCCCGACGCAAAGTGTTCACGCCCTGCCAAGCAAAGTGGCCGCGGCGCCGAGGCGACAAAGCCGGCCCAAGGGCGCCACCCAGTGCCATCTGTCCCACGCCTGCCACGCAAAACGACGGTAGATGTGAGGTTGTGCCACGCCTGCCACGTGAAATCAAGGTGGATGTCACCAAGTGCCACGCCTGCCACGCAGAAGTGGCGCGGCGTCACGGGCGTCACGGCGGCGCCTAAACCAGTCCAAGCGCGCCACCCAGTGCCATCTGTCCCACGCCTGCCACGCAAAACGACGGCCAAGTGCCACGCCTGCCACGCAGAATGCCGCAGAGTGTGTGTGTGTGTGTGCCACACAGAACGAAAGTGAATGTCGCCAAGTAAGTGTGTGTGTGTGTGTTGGTGTGTGTTGGTGTGTGTTGGTGTGTGTTGGTGTGTGTTGGTGTGTGTTGGTGTGTGTTGGTGTGTGTTGTTGTGTGTTGTTGTGTGTTGTTGTGTGTTGTTGTGTGTTGTTGTGTGTTGTTGTGTGTTGTTGTGTGTGTGTGTGGGATGTGAAATTATTGTATGTTAAGTTTATTGTTGTATATGTAAGGAAGCGGGAGGAGGAGGCGGGAGGAGAAGGAGCCCGGGATACAGAATCAAAAACAAGAACCCCACACAAAGATGTGGGGAAAAACAAAATCCAAGGGACACAAGCCACAAAAAAAATCAAATAAGCTTATTTGAAAATAAAAAAATCGAATAAGTTTTTTGCTAGTGTTTTAAGTTCTGGTCAAAAAAAATCACAATCAACTTCAATCAACTGCAAAACAAAACAAGGCTGACACTGGCTCTTTCATCAAATTTGCTTCCAAACTGGTTTCTATTGTTTTTTATTGTTTTCATGTTTTGGTTACATTTTTTTTGGAATTTTCCTTTTTTATTATTTAATTTAGTTTAAATATATAAACAAAAACAATACCCATCACTCTGACTCTATTCTACTTACAGTTTTTTTTGAATAACTTTTCTTATTTTGATTTGATATTAGTTTGATAAAAAATAAGGCAATCTTCTCCCAGCCTTTTTTGAATTCTTAAATTTTCTTGTTTGAAAAAAAACAAATAAGGGAATCCATAATCCTATCTTCTCCCAGCATTTTTTGAATTTTAAAATTTTCTTAGGTAAAAAAATCGTTTAAGGGAATCCATAATCCTATCTTCCCCTAGCCTTTTTTGAATTTTAAAATTTTCTTATTTGAAAAAAAAGCGTTTGAGGGAATCTACAATCCTATCTTCTCCTAGCCTTTTTTCAATTTTCAAATTTGCTTATTTGAGAAAAATCGTTTAAGAGATTCATATAAAACCATAGTCTCAAAAAAAAACATTTTTTTATTTGAAAAAAAACAAATAAGGGAATCCATAATCCTATCTTCTCCCAGCCTTTTTGAATTTTAAAATTTTCTTAGGTAAAAAAAATCGTTTAAGGGAATCCATAATCCTATCTTCCCCCCAGCCTTTTTTGAATTTTAAAATTTTCTTATTTGAAAAAAAACGTTTAAGGGAATCCATAATCCTATCTTCTCCTAGCCTTTTTTGAATTTTCAAATTTGCTTATTTGAGAAAAACATAGTTTAAGAGATTCATATAAAATCCTAGTTTTTTTTCAAGTTCTTATTTGAAAAAAAATCAAATAAGGGCATAATGAGGGAATCCATAATCCTATCTTCTCCTAGCCTTTTTTGAAGTTTCAAATTTGCTTATTTGAGAAAAAATCGTTTAAGAGATTCCACAAAAAACCTAGTACTTTTTTTATTTTCAAATTTCTTATTTGAAAAAAATCAAATAAGGGAATCCATAACCCTATCTTCTCCCAGCCTTTTTTGAATTTTAAAATTGTCTTATTTGAAAAAAAATCGTTTAAGGGAATCCATAATCCTATCTTTTCCCAGCCTTTTTTGAATTTTAAAATTTTCCCAGCCTTTTATGACAACGACAATGATTTGACTTTTGAATCTTGGATGGGTTGGTTTGAGCTAAGTATGTAGTAAGTATATATGTAGTAAAAAAATGAATTACCTGGTTACAAGTTATAGTTATATGATGTTATATGTAACATGTATGATAATTAAGGTGACTCAAACTTGCATTGCCTTGTGGTTTATCTTTTTTGTTCCACCTGTGAGCCATGAATCCATGAGAATGGCATCGTTTCTCTTTGGTCCAAAATGCAGAGTTTGGTGCCTATTTGGGGGGGCCCAATCCATAAAACACAAGCCACCAGTTAAAACGCAAGACCTGTGCAAATTCTCAGCTGCTGTGTGTAAAAGTCTCTATGTGTGAAAGTGTTTGTGTGTAAAAACGCCTGTGTGTAAACGCCTCTGTGTTTAAAAGCTTCTGTGTGTAAAAGCCTCTGTGTTTAAAAGCTTCTGTGTTTAAAAGCTTCTGTGTGTAATGGCTTCTGTGTGTAAAAGCGTCTGTGTGTAAAAGCTTCTGTGTGCAAAAGCATCTGTGTGTAAAAACGTCTGTGTGTAAAAACTTCTGTTTGTAAAAGCGTCTGTGTGTAAAAAAATCTGTGTGTAAAAGCGTCTGTGTGTAAAAGTGTCTGTGTGTAAAAGTGTCTCTGTGTAAAAGCGTCTGTGTGTAAAAGTCTCTGTGTGTAAAAGCGTTTGTGTGTAAAAGCTTCTGTGTGCAAAAGCGTCTGTGTGTGTCAAAGGTTCTGTGTTTGAAAAACTATACGAAGGATGCGATGCAAACTATTGTCTTGTACTTTCAAAATATTGTCTTGATACTACTCTTCTCGTCTGCCTATTATCGATCTTTAATATATTGTCTTGGAATATAGTGTCTCAGTCTCAATACTAACAACAGAAGACCCTGCTCCTCTAAGCTCTCGGGCCATCCGTCGTCTAGTTGTATGAAGATCTTGTGAGCTCCTCTTTAGATCTACATAGAAGGTCCTGCTGCTGCAGTTGCGATCATGTCTAACCGTCTAACCTCACATGTTACTGTTCCCATAGCTACTGTTACTTGTATCTAGTACATCGGTTTCCTACACCCCACACTCTTTAGGGCCTCTTGCCGGTGTTTTTTTGGATCAGAACAATATTAGCTGGCACTGGCAATAAGTTGAACTATTTGCGGGCAGTTATGAAAAAAGGGTGTGCCAATGCCACATATTTAGTTTTGTTTTAACTATAAATACTGTACTTGCACAGGCCCCCGGCGGCTTTTCGCAGCCAAGGAGTGCTTTCATATTGGTATCGACCCGATACTTCTCAGGTTGCCTTCAATCCACAACCCATTATTTTTCCGGTTTATAGTGCCCGTGAGTGGGCAGCAGGCAACAAACGTACGGCTGCTACGGGATCGTACATCGGAAAACTGGTGAACCGGCGCTTGCGTGAAAAAGCTTTCAGCGTGCTCACTTTTCTGCAAAATCTGCAGTTACTGGTAGTGGTCTCATCATTTTACCACCACTGTTTTCTTTTCCATCCGTGCGATAATGGGAGTGGTTTGACTTTGGTTTTGGGATGGGTTGAAGGCACCTCAAATCACCTCAAACAAGGTTGGAACTGATGGAGATGCAAGAGTACCTGGCCATGAAAAATGATAGCAACAACTGGGAAGAAGTGGCTTGCCAGTGGATCAAGACGAATCGACCTAGGTGGGAGAGATGGGTTCCAAAGGATACTTGGATTTGTTTAAAGACTTCAACAAGAAACATAAGGTTTGTTAATTTTTTTAAATGGAGAAATTCTACTCACTCAGAAAATCTCGAGGGTGTAATTTTCATTTTCTTGTGGGGTACCTTGAGCACTATATCCAAGGAGACCACATGCTTCCGGGGGTTTGGCCTTGTCGATGTGGCCCAGAAGAGTGTGACCAGTCGAAGCGACGCCGTGGGGTGTGGGCTGTGCACGCCAGGAACCAGTTCTTCGGTGCTCTTGGATAACATTGGGAGGACTTACACCTGCAAGTCATGTGAGCCTGGCAGCTATCAAGAACTCTCTGGGGAGACCTTGTGTACCAGTTGTCCGGTGGGAAGAATTGCGAGAGAGGCTGGGCTTTCGCAATGTGAGGTTTGTCCTCCTGGAAGCTTTGCCAATTCTGTCGGCTTGCAAGCCTGTCAGATTTGTGGCACTGGTAGCCTTCAATGGACCACGAGTCGCAAGGTTGAACTCCACGGAAGTGAGGAATGGATTACGGTTGAAGGTGCAGTGTCAGAAGACTACTGCCATTGTCTTCCTGGTTATTTTCTGGACCAGAACCAAACCTGTCGCGAATGCACTGAAGGAGCCTCATGTCCGGGCTCCAACCAAGTGGAGTTGCTGCCCGGATATTTCTCCTCTTCCACTGATCCCGGGTCCATTTACCGGTGTTATCCCAAGGCCTTAGCCTGTCCAGGGGGTTTGCCTGGAAGCTGTGCTGTGGGCCGAGATAACAGTAGTGTCGCCTGCAGCGCTTGCCTGTCTGGCTTGTATTCCACCGACGAAGGCTGTGTTCCTTGTGAGGGGCAGGACGTCGGGTCATGCAGTTGGGTTCTGAGTTCCTTTGGGATACTGGGACGTTGGGTCACGGACGTTGGGGATCTGGACGTATCCGACAGTGGCAATTGAAGATGATTCATGTGTAATTAAATGATTCCATGATGCAACGGTTCGGTTCTGCGGTTTTCGGTTCATTTTTGAAACGGTTCTACAGTTCCACGGTTCCAATTGTTTTATTTTTGCAGTTCGGTTCGGTTCTAAGTGTAACTTTTCATTTATTTGGGGTTGATCTTTTTAGAGCTATACCATTGTAAACTTCTCTGGGGTTTGCTTTGGAAGTGGACCAGGCTGGTGATTATTAATGGTTCAATCATTTCCTTTCCCGATCATTTCCTTTCCGTATGGCGAATCTTGCAAATGAAATTGAGACGAAATCAAGGGACCAGTCAATCCATCAGTCAATAGTATCATACCAAGTCCAAAAAAACAAATAAAAACAAATCAAGAAAAAACACAAGAAACCAACAGAAACCAACAGAAACCAAAACAAAACAAAACAAATCAAAAAAACAAAACAAATCAAAACAAATAAACACAAATCAACACAAATCAACACAAATCAACACAAATCAATACAAATCAATACAAATCAAAACTAATCAACGCAAATCAAAACAAGTCAAAAAAACGAAACAAATCAAAACAAATCAAAACACATCAAAACAAATCAACACAAATCAACACAAATCAACACAAATCAACACAAATCAAAACAAATCAAAACAAGTCAAAACAAGTCAAAACAAATCAAAACAAATCAAAACAAACCAATACAAATCAAGACAAACCAAAGCCAATCAAAGCCAAACAAAACCAAACGAAACCAATCAAAACCAAACACTACCAATGAAAACCAATCACAACCAATCACAACCAATCAAATCAAACAATCAAAACAAATCAAAACAATCAAACAAAACACATCAAAGCAAATCAAAACAAATCAAACAAAACAAAAAAGCAAAACATTTCAAAATACATCAAAAAACAAATCAAAACAAGAATCAAACAAATCAAAACAAAACAAATCAATACAAATGAAAAACACATCAAAACAAATCAAAACAAATCAAACAAAACACACCAAAACAAATCAAAACAAATGAAACAAAACACATCAAAACAAATCAAAACGAATCAAACAAAACACATCAAAAGAAATCAAAACAAAACAAATCAAACAAAACAAATTAAAACAAAACAAATCAAATCAAAACAAATCAAGCCAACACAAATCAAATTAAACAAAACAAAAGAAATCAATCAAAACACATTACATCAATTTAAAACAAAAGACAAATCAAATCAAAACAAAAGACAAATCAAATCAAAACAAATCAAACAAAAAATAAACACACCAAAACAAAAAAATGAAACAAAACACACAAAAACAAATCAAAACAAGTCAAAACAAATCAAAACACATCAAAACAAACCAAAACAAATCAAACAAAACAAATCAAAACAAATCAAACAAAACAAATCAAAACATATCAAAGAAATCAAACAAAACACATAAAAACAAATCAAAACAAAACAAAGCAAATCAAAACAGTTCAAGCAAAACAAATCAATACATATCAAGCAAATCAATAAAACACATCAAGGCAATCCAAAACACATCAAAACAAATCAAATCAAAACAAAGCAAATCAAAACACATCAAATCAAAACAAAACAAATCAAAACACACCAAAACAAAACAAATCTAAACAAAGCAAATCAAAACAAATCAAACCAAAACCAAACCAGTTAAATCAAAACATATCAAACAAATCAAACAAAACACATAAAAACAAATCAAAACAAAGCAAAACAAACCAAATCAAATCAAATCAATCAAAATAAATCAATGCATATCAAACAAAACAAAAAACAGATCAAGACAATTCAAGATACAACCAAAACACAACAAAACAAATCAAAACAAATCAAACAAAACAAATCAAAACACATCAAATCAAAACAAAACAAATCAAAACACACCAAAACAAAAAAAAATTAAACAAAACAAATCAAAACAAATCAAAACAAATCAAACCAAAACCAAACCAGTTAAGTCCAAACAAATCAAAACAAATCAAATCAAAACAATTCGATTCAGATCAATTCAAATCAAACAAAACACACCAAAACAGATCAGCCAAAACACATCAAAACAAATCAAAACAAATCAAACAAAACAAATCAAAACACATCACATCAAAACAAAACAAATCAAAACACACCAAAACAAAACAAATTAAAACAAAACAAATCAAAACAAATCAAAACAAATCAAACCAAAACCAAACCAGTTAAATCCAAACAAATCAAAACAAATCAAATCAAAACAATTCAATTCAAATCAAACAAAACACATCAAAACAGATCAATCAAAACACATCAAAACAAATCAAAACAAATCAAACAAAACAAATCAAAACACATCAAACCAAAACAAAACAAGACAAATCAAAACACATCAAAACGAAACAAATCAAAACAAAACAAATCAAAACAAATCAAAACAAAACCAAACCAGTTAAATCCAAACAAATCAAAACAAATCAAATCAAAACAATTCAATTCAAATCAATTCAAATCAAACAAAACACATCAAAACAGATCAATCAAAACACACCAAAACAAATCAAAACAAATCAAACAAAACAAATCAAAACACATCAAACCAAAACAAAACAAGACAAATCAAAACAAATCAAAACAAATCAAACCAAAACCAAACCAGTTAAATCCAAACAAATCAAAACAAATCAAATCAAAACAATTCAATTCAAATCAATTCAAATCAACCAAAACACATCAAAACAGATCAATCAAAACACATCAAAACAAATCAAACAAAACAAATCAAAACACATCAAACCAGAACAAAACAAGACAAATCAAAACACATCAAAACGAAACAAATCAAAACAAAACAAATCAAAACAAATCAAACCAAAACCAAACCAGTTAAATCCAAACAAATCAAAACAAATCAAATCAAAACAATTCAATTCAAATCAATTCAAATCAAACAAAACACATCAAAACAGATCAATCAAAACACATCAAAACAAATCAAACAAAACACACCAAAACAAATCAAAACACATCAAACCAGAACAAAACAAGACAAATCAAAACACATCAAAACGAAACAAATCAAAACCAAACCAGTTAAATCCAAACAAATCAAAACAAATCAAATCAAAACAATTCAATTCAAATCAATTCAAATCAAACAAAACACATCAAAACAGATCATTCAAAACACATCAAAACAAATCAAAACAAATCAAACAAATCAAACAAAACACATCAAAACAGATCAATCAAAACACATCAAAACAAATCAAACAAAACAAATCAAAACACATCAAACCAAAACAAAACAAAACAAATCAAAACAAATCAAAACAAATCAAACCAAAACCAAACCAGTTAAATCCAAACAAATCAATTCAAATCAAATCAAAACAATTCAATTCAAATCAAATGCAATCAAAAACATTAATTAATCCGTTCATCCAAAATCCACAGCTCGATCGGCTCAACTTGGTCTCCGAGAGTCGATAGTTCCGTGACCGAGCACCGAACCCTGCAGAAAATCGCGATGCCGGTTGGAAAAATGGTTTTCCCCAAAAAAATCGAAGCAACGTTTTACTTCTCACATCTTCTCACTAAGTATCGTGTTTTTTCCTTTTAGATATTTATTTGGAAATAACTACAATCTGGTCCGGGCAATTGCTTAAACGTCGACTTGGGGATGGTGGATGGTTGGCGTCAAAAAATTGAATAGTATTTGGATGTATTTGGGGTACGGTGAGTAGAATTGCCAATGCGACATGGCTCACCTATTCACCTTCCAATTGCATTTCCTGCAAGAGATCTTTCAGAAGTTGTGTCTCACTCAATTCAGATCCGAAACTCTGGCCAGGACTATTTGATCTTGATCTTGGTTTGTGCGATGATCCTCACGACCACTGGTGCTTTACATGCCTTTCTCCTCTATACCAATGATAACAAATTGCAGGTGGGTTTCGTCAAGGCTGGCATTTACGTGGGTCAACTCGCAGTGTCAGTGCAAGTCATTGTGGTGATCCAGCGGATGGACATCGAATGGCAAGTGCTTGGACCTGACTAATGATTAGTACATGTGATTACTATTGATTATGACATGTTTAATGTTTTTCTGAACTTTAGTGGATCCTAAATTATAGTTTATTATTAAAAATTGTTTGGTCTTTTACCAGGGCGCGTTTCCTTTCAAAACTTTTTAGCATCCTTACAACGGGTAGAACACCTGAGGAACCTTTCCTGTCAATCTTGGAGGCTTTCAGTTTTATCTCCTTCGACCAGTTTATCCAATCGCTGAATGCCGTCAGTTGCATCACTCGTTTGTCACCTACGTGGACATTCTTGTCTCATACTGTGGCAGTGCCAGCAGCTTTCATGGCAGGACCAGTCTTCGTCCAAGTAAGTCAGAACCGGTCGAGAACTGCAAAGGGAACTGGGAAGTTGCACGTGCTGGGCGAAACCTTCGGCTTGTTCTGCATGCTATTCTTCATTGTACTTTGCACCGCGGTCCTGGAACCCTTTGATTGCGTGAGTCATCCGAATGAAGCATTTACAATGCGCACATCCATTCAGGTTTTGTGCAATTTCCGGAACGATCATTTGAGTTTGTCATTGGTGGCGAGTTTCTTGACCCTTCTGCCGCTGGTTTTCCTTTCGTTATGTGCTTGGCTTGTGGTAAAGGAACTGCCTAAGCGAATGCACCGAATGGATGTGAAATTTATTCGCTCTTGTTCATTTCTGATCTCTCGATTTCGCCCAGGCAGTGAGAAATTTTCGATTTTTCTTTTGGTGAGGAATGCCATTTTAGCTATTGCGCCAGTCCTCCCTTCCACAGAAGCGGGCTGCCTCTTGATTTTTGCCGTACTCGGTACGAACTTATGCCTGGCCGCGATGTTCCAACCTTGGTTGTCTCCGCTGGCAACGTACCTGGACGTGCTCACGAATTTTGGTTTCCTTGTCATCATTCTCAATGGAGCATTCTTTCTCGAAAGAAAGCAAACTTCGAACGACCGATCCGGTATGATTGTTTGTTCACTGGTACTTTGCTGTATTCTGCTGGCCTTAGTAAACCTCTCCATCTTTACCTTAGCAGAACATTGGTTCAGAAAGCGGAGAAAGCGTTATGATTTCTTCTTGAGCCATCACAAGCAGAGCAGTGGCAGTGTTGCCCGCATGATGAAGTTAGAACTCCAACAACGCGGCCTGGCGGTCTTTTTGGATACAGACGATCTATCTTCCCTTTCTGATCTCTTTGGAACTCTGACCCAAAATGTCGAAGCTTTGGTGGTGATTGCCTCACCCAAAGTCCTGACCCGGAAGTGGTGTCTGGGGGAAATTGTGACGGCCAACTTGCACAATGTGAACACAGTGGTGGTAGCCTTGCCCAACTTCCATTTTCCAGATGCTTCCATGTGCTTCCGCTTATTTTTGCATAGTGAAACCCTTTGAATAATACACTGACATACACTGTATACAGTTGTCTTGGGAAGTTGTTGGGGGATGTCCGCAAATCCAAGGATGCCATGTTTGTTGATGCCCTCGAAAATGTGGTTGGTGAGATGGATGAGTTGGCAGCTTACGGCCTTGCCCAAGCGGATTTTCGAGAAGCTCTGGTGAAGCTCCGCGATCGGAAGACGGTGTTTCTCCCAGGGTCGTTTCAAAGCTCCGATGTGGCCACCATCGTTGATCAGCTGTGTCAATGCTCTCGCGCTGAGGTCAAGCTGCAGGCAGGGCTTGAAGCTGGGTGAAGCTGGGTGAAGTAGTGGACTAATTATTTGGCCATCATTCTGCACTTAGCATTGTCGGACATTGTTGGGGCAAATGGTCGATTTTCCTTGGTCTGAGGATGTGACAGTTTGATACAATTTAAATACAATTTGCCAATTCAGAATGGGTGGTGTACAACCTGAACTGTATGGGTGCTTGTTTCAATAGGAGGATGGGGATGTCACAAGGCCCTGCAATAGAACTCGCCGATTGGCATGATTATTTTGAGGTCCCATTAAGTCCCATTCAAGAAATATCTCGAACAGCCTATATAATTAATATTAGAATATATTATAGATATTATTAGATCTGATTAGTCTAATTCCATCTAATTCCTATTAATTCCTAGGATTTATGACAAGGGAATAGCGATGAATTGCGCACCCCGTGCCAGGACTCAGCGGAGAGCGATCGGCCTTCGGGTTCTTCTTGCTTGCTGTTGGCCGACCATGAGGACATTGAGGCCTTGGCTACTTGCCACGTGCTGAGAAGCTGGATGTTTCCGCACTTATTGCAGCAACGTATCCATGGACCCTTGGTGTTGTCACCAACTGAAAGGATCATGGAGCTGGGATATGAAGAGACCAAATACGTACTCATTGTGTGCACCAAGGGCTGTTTCGAATCTGAATCGATGATTCGTTGGCTAATTCAAGCTTATCATTTTGCTCAGCATTGCCGGATTTTTACCATTATTGCAGACGAAGAGTTTCACGTTCCGGGCGCCACAGCGGACTTTCACAACCTGGCTTGCAGTCCTAATGTGCTATCCATGGTGCCAGAAACAGGAAGCGGCGATTCCAATTTTTCCAGTTCCACCTACCACGCTGTGATCAAAGCCTTGTTCACTCAATTTGCTTCGCGCTTCTCAGCGCGATACTCTTCCGAATCAACGTTGAAATTCAAAGCAGCAGGATATGCCCAGAAGCTCTCGGAGTTGCAATCCCTCAGGGGTCTCCTCTCGAACCGGGGTCTTTCCAGAGTCTTTGAGGACGCGATCAATCAAATTGGATCCCTGCAGTGATAATTTTGCGTGGTTTCCATTGGTTTCCCTAAATTTTGATTTGGCTATGGGATTTCAACAGTCTGAACAGCTGAATCAAATAGGAACAGGCGGGTGACAGACACAAGAGCAAGTAAGCCCCCGCAGAGAAAATCATCGTGGAGACAAAATTCACACATTTGACATGCCAAGGTCGTGAGTTCACACTATGAGTCGATGCTAGATGGTGCATGATAGTGCTAGGTTGGAGGTGCAGATAATGCATATTGGCTGGTCAGGATTCCGGTCGTGAAGATGGCCCTCCACAGAAACGGCCAGCCATCGTTTGTGGGGTCATGTGAGTCATGGGGGGTCATTCTTGAACATACCCTTAAGGCCCAAGTGAGAAAACAGAGTGTGGTATAACATGGTATAACTAATTTGTTGATTGTTCTTGACTGGTTGACTGTTGAAGAAACTTAACTTCAAGAACACATACTGGTAGGAACAAGCAGGATTCAACATATAAAACGGTAAACTTTCCATTGGATCTTTAAATCTGTTGGATTTCCCAGCAAGCCAACAGCTCGGGCTCAGGATCAGACGAGAACAAGGAAGTGGCAGATGAAGTGAGTGAAGCTGAGGAGGAAATAATGCAAAGAGTCGTTTAGTCTCACTGAAGTCGGTGAAGGGCCTTTGGGCCTTTTTCGTGGGTTCCAAAAAACATGCGGAGCCTTTGGAGTAAAACCCCAAAGATGATAACATCAAGATCTTATAAATCAATATAAATCGGGTAACATGGATTAATTTTTGTCGACAGACAGACAGATGCGCCATTCACCATGTGATTATTTGATGATCATGTAGCAGAGAAATAATTTGATGGTGACCTCATGCATGGAAATACCAAGATGGAGTCGCGAATGATCAGGCAGCCTTAGCTTGGAGGCCTTACGTTTGGGACCTGATGAAATGTCTGCCTAAGACATCATGTGCGAGTTATCTAGAGAAGTGGAAAAAGCAGTCTGGACAGGCATTCTGCCGGAAGGAAATCAACATGGATTTACCTATGAGTTCATACGTTCAAAACTGCAGTCTTGAAGCAAAGTCCTTTCCCTGTGTTTAAGGAAGGGGAAAGGGTGAGCCAAAAGCAAGACACGTGATATCATGATCATGAGATCTTTAGGTCGAAGCAAACCGAATAGGTTTCGTTCTGCAGCAACTTCCACATCTCAACGCCGAGCCATTAGCACCGGATAGCCTTGGCTTTTCTGCGCTTTGCGTTTTCCTTTTTAGCCATGCAGATGCAGATGATGCAGCCGATGCAGCAGATGCAGCCACGCTTGGTGCTGCAGCAGGCCGTGCTCAAGCAGCCAGCGGTGCTGTCGCATGCGCGGCCAGCGCAGCCGTGGCTTGGACAGGTGCATCAGCTTCGTCAGTTGAATCCTGTGCGGCCCATGGCGATGCCAGTGGCGATGCCAACGCCCATCGTGAAGGCCGTGGTCAAGCCCGTGGCCAGGCCATTACGTTGGGTTTATGCTGCCCCTATGCAGCGCAACCAAATCAACCAAGGACGCACCAATCAGGTGGTCCCATGCCAAGAGCTTGTGTCGATGAAGGTGATGGCTCCAGAACTGAAGGAGCTTCCCAAGGAGCTTCCCAAGGAGCTTCCCAAGGAGCTTCCCAAGGAGCTTCCCAAAGAGGCCGGGTGTGTTGGGGATGCCCCATCGACTTTTAAGTTCTTTGGGAATTTAGCCTCTTCCGGTTTTGTCAAGAGTCAAAATGATCAAAATGTTAATTTGTTATAATTTGTTCATATTTGTTCCAGTTGGTTTTGCCTCCCACGCAAAGCAGGTGGTGTCCATGCAGGTGAAGCCACGGCGCAAAGAGCTCCCGCTGATTGAGGGTCAAGTCCCCAAAGACGCCGGTGTGGAGGGCATGCACCCAATCGATTTCAAAGCGTTTTGGGAGCAGAGCCTCTTCAAGTTTTTTTCAAGTATATATAGTTAATTTATATTAATTTATGTTCATTTGTTCCACTCGCCTTTGCCGCAAGCCTGCAAGCCTTGGGTTCCAAGAGATTCTCTCATGATCTCTCATGTTATTTTACCCCATGGGAGGTACAGGTACAGTATGTATGGCATTGGTTTTGCATTGGTTTTGGTTTCACAAAATAAATCAAAATAATGCGGCTCTAGTGAGACCAAGCCCCAAGAATTTTAGAATTCTTTGCTGTGCCCAAGCTATTCAAAGCTTAGGAATCAGCAAAATATGATTGTGATCGACCTGCGCGGGCAAGATCGAGCAAGCGGAGCAATTCCAGGCACGGCACACATCCCGGCCATGGATTTGCTGAAAGAGATCGGGACGTACGTGGAGAAGTTTCGGCACCAGCCGATTGTGGCATTTTTTTGCCAATATTCGGCGCATAGGGCTCCGACAGTGGCTTGATGCATTTGTAGCAATACACTGTTTCTGTTTTTGTTTTTGGTTTCAATTGGTTTACCATGGTTTACCACCCTTCAAAAGCATTCAAAAGCGACATTTTCCGGAGGGGAAAACCAAAGCAACAAGGTCGCCAACTTCTTCAGAAAGAGCTGCCCGTCCAAGCAGCGCGTCGTGGTGCTTGAAGGAGGCTTCAGGGGATGGGAGGCCCATGACCTCCCTATCCAGCAGATGGAGACGACAATGTCTCAGATGGCGTGTGACCAGCTGGCCTTGAAGATTGGCCAGAATGTCTCGAAGGTCAACTGATGAGCTTTCATGACCAGCCACAGTCGAATACCTGCACAATCATTGTCTATGGCAATCACAGTTGAATACCTGCAGTCAATTGCAGTCAGTATCACCCCTGGGTCGAGGCCAACATTGCTTCACCCACAAAACGCTGAAGCGCAGAGAACTGTAGAAAACAGAGTGGTCAGTCACGATTAGTCAAGGTTGGTCTTGCATGGTGTCGAGTCTTTTTTTTGGTTCCTTGTGGCGTTGTGGCTGACGGCCATCATAAGATCACAAGCAGCGCGCCATTTTGAGACGAAACCAGATTCCTGCTGAGGTGGACATTGCAATATCTACCGCTCCTCAGCCGAGTGCTTTCAGCTACCTGAGGCTCCAGACGGGGCCACGGCACTCGGAGGTTTGCCTTGGTCGGGCTGGCTGGGTGGTTTGAAGATGTTTCAAATTTGTTGCATAATATTTGACATGTCAATCATTTGAAGATATTTGAAGGATAAGATTATGCTTAATCAATATTTGCTTAGTAACAGAGGTACTGCCTGTTGCATCTGCTGCGCCCAGTCCAAAAGCAGCCAGGGTATAGCGATGTGCCATGATCGACTAGTGCATACTCATGACATCTCATGAAAGTGGTGGTGATGATGATGGTGACGACGATGATGATTCTTTCAGGTTTAAGACAGGTTTGGCATGTTTTGCCAAGTTGAGTCTGATGCCAAGTATGAACTGCTATGCGTATGTACCATTGATGATGATGATGATGATGATGATGGTGATGATGATGAAGATGATGATAGAAGATGATGATGATGATGATGATGATGATGATGATGATGATGATGATGGTGATGATGATGATGATGATGATGGTGATGGTGGTGATGGTGATGGTGGTGGTGATGGTGATGGTGATGGTGATGGTGATGGTGATGGTGGTGATCATGATGATGATGATGATGATGATGATGATGATGATGATGATGATGATGATGATGATGATGATGATGATGATGACGATTGCGATTGCGATTGCGATGACTTGCTACGTATGATTTGCCGTTTTTTGCCAAGTAAAGTCTGACGCCAGGCAGCCTTGGCTTGGAGGCCTTACGTTTGGGACCTGAGGAAATGTCTGCCTAAGACATCATGTGTGAGTTATCTCTAGAGAAGTGGAAAAAGCAGTCTGGACAGGCATTCTGCAAATAAAAAATCAGCATGGATTTACCTATGAGTTCATAAGTTCAAAACTGCAATCTTGAAGCAAAGTCCTTTCCCTGTGTTTAAGGAAGGGGAAAAGGGTGAGCCAAAAGCAAGACATGTGATATCATGATCATGAGATCTTTAGGTCGAAGCAAACCGAATAGGTTTCGTTCTGCAGCAGCTTCCACATCTCAACGCCGAGCCATTAGCACCGGATAGCCTTGGCTTTTCTGCGCTTTGCTTTTTCCTTTTTAGCCATGCAGATGCAGATGATGCATCCGATGCAGCCGATGCAGCAGATGCAGCCACGCTTGGTGCTGCAGCAGGCGGCTGCTCAAGCAGCCAGCGGTGCTGTCGCATGCGCGGCCAGCGCAGCCGTGGCTTGGACAGGTGCATCAGCTTGGTCAGTTGAATCCTGCGCGGCCCATGGCGATGCCAGTGGCGATGCGAACGCCCATCGTGAAGGCCGTGGTCAAGCCCGTGGCCAGGCCATTGCGTTGGGTTTATGCTGCCCCTATGCAGCGCAACCAAATCAACCAAGGACGCACCAATCAGGTGGTCCTCCGGTGCCAAGAGCTTGTGTCGACGAAGGTGATGGCTCCAGAACTGAAGGAGCTTCCCAAGGAGCTTCCCAAGGAGCTTCCCAAGGAGCTTCCCAAGGAGCTTCCCAAAGAGGCCGGGTGTGTTGGGGATGCCCCATCGACTTTTAAGTTTTTTGGGAATTTAGCCTCTTCCGGTTTTGTCAAGAGTCAAAATGATCAAAATGTTAATTTGTTCATATTTGTTCCAGTTGGTTTGCCTCCCACGCAAAGCAGGTGGTGTCCATGCAGGTGAAGCCACGGCGCAAAGAGCTCCCGCTGATTGAGGGTCAAGTCCCCAAAGATGCCGGTGTGGAGGGCATGCACCCAATCGATTTCAAAGCGTTTTGGGAGCAGAGCCTCTTCAAGTTTTTGTCAAGTATATAATAGTTAATTTATGTTCATTTGTTCCAGTCGCCTTTGCCGCAAGCCTGCAAGCCTTGGGTTCCAAGAGATTCTCTCATGATCTCTCATGTTATTTTACTTCATGGGAGGTACAGTATGTATGGCATTGGTTTTGCATTGGTTTTACATGTTTTGGTTTTACAAAATTACTTTACTTCGTGTGATCCCCACCATGACATTTATACATTTTCTTACTGGCAAATCTTCTGGCATTCTATCTGACATATCTTCTGACATTCTATTTGACATTCTATCTGGCATATCTTCTGGCATATGATCTGGCATATCTTCTTGCATATCTTCTGACATTCTATCTGGCATTCTATCTGGCATATCTTCTTCCTGGCATTCTATCTGGCATATCTTTGGCACGCTTAATCTGCATATCTTCTGGCATCTATCTGCATATCTTCTGGGCATATATTCCTGACAATATCTTCTGGCATTCTATCTGACATATCTTCTGGCATAATATTCTGACATATCTTCTGGCATATCTCTGGCTATATCTTCTGGCATATCTTCTGACATTTCTATCTGGCATATCTTCTGGCATATTTTCTGGCATTCTATCTGGCAAATCTTCTGGCATTCTATCTGGCATATCTTCTGGCATATTATCTGGCATTCTATCTGGCATATCTTCTGGCATATCTTCTGGCATATCTTCTGACATTCTTTCTTACATTCTTTCTAACTTTCTTCTGCACATTCTTTGTCCCATATCTTCCTACATGAGGTCCGGCAGGGAACACTTGGCGTGGATACTCGCGGTTGAGGTCCGGCAGGGAACACTGGGCGTGGATGGTCGTGGTTGAGGTCCGGAAGGGAACACTGGGCGTGGATGGTCGTGGTTGAGGTCCGGCAGGGAACATTGGGCGTGGATGGTCGTGGTTGAGGTCCGGCAAGGAACACTGGGCGTGGATGGTCGTGGTTGAGGTCCGGCAGAGAACACTGTGGATCGCGGGTCGCAGTTGAGCAAGGACGACGAGGACGACGAGGACGACGAGGAGGACGAGGAGGAGGAGGAGAGGAGGACGAGGCAGGAGGAGGCGGAGGAGGAGGAGGAGAAGGAGGAGGAGGAGAAGGAGGAGGAGGCAACTGACATAAAATCTAACAACCCTCACCTGGCAGGTGGGGAATAAATCAAAATAATGCGGCTCTAGTGAGACTAAGCCCCAAGAATTTTAGAGTTCTTTGGTGTGTCCAAGCTATTCAAAGCTTAGGAATCAGCAAAATATGATTGTGGTCGACCTGTGCGGGCAAGATCGAGCAAGCGGAGCAATTCCAGGCACGGCACACATCCCGGCCATGGATTTGCTGAAAGAGATCGGGACGTACGTGGAGAAGTTTCGGCACCAGCCGATTGTGACATTTTTTTGCCAATATTCGGCGCATAGGGCTCCGACAGTGGCTTGATGCATTTGTAGCAATACACTGTTTCTGTTTTTGTTTTTGGTTTCAATTGGTTTACCATGGTTTACCACCCTTCAAAAGCATTCAAAAGCGACATTTTCCGGAGGGGAAAACCAAAGCAACAAGGTCGCCAACTTCTTCAGAAAGAGCTGCCCGTCCAAGCAGCGCGTCGTGGTGCTTGAAGGAGGCTTCAGGGGATGGGAGGCCCATGACCTCCCTATCCAGCAGATGGAGACGACAATGTCTCAGATGGCGTGTGACCAGCTGGCCTTGAAGATTGGCCAGAATGCCTCGAAGGTCAACTGATGAGCTTTCATGACCAGCCACAGTCGAATACCTGCCCAATCATTGTCTATGGCAATCACAGTTGAATACCTGCAGTCAATTGCAGTCAGTATCACCCCTGGGTCGAGGCCAACATTGCTTCACCCACAAAACGCTGAAGCGCAGAGAACTGTAGAAAACAGAGTGGTCAGTCACGATTAGTCAAGGTTGGTCTGACATGGTGTCGAGTCTTTTTTTTGGTTCCTTGTGGCGTTGTGGCTGACGGCCATCACAAGCAGCGCGCCATTTTGAGACGAAAGCAGATTCCCGGCTGAGGTGGACATCTCTTTGCAATATCTACCGCTCCTCAGCCGAGTGCTTTCAGCTACCTGAGGCTCCAGGCGGGGCCACGGCACTCAGAGGTTTGCCTTGGTCGGGCTGGCTGGGTGGTTTGAAGATGTTTCAAATTTGTTGCATATTTGACATGTCAATCATTTGAAGGATATGATATGATTATGTGCTTAATTAATCAATATTTGCTTAGTAACAGAGGCACTGCCTGTTGCATCTGTTGCGCCCAGCCCAAAAGCAGCCAGGGTATAGCGATGTGCCATGATCGACTAGTGCATACTCATGACATCTCATGACGATGGTGGTGATGATGATGGTGACGACGATGATGATCCTTTCAGGTTTAAGACGGGTTTGGCATGTTTTGCCAAGTTGAGTCTGATGCCAAGTATGAACTGCTATGCGTATGTACCCATGATGATGATGATGATGATAGATGATAGATGATAGATGATAGATGATAGATGATAGATGATAGATGATAGATGATAGATGATAGATGATAGATGATAGATGATGATGACGATGACGATTGCGATTGCGATGACTTGCTATGATTTGCCGTTTTTTGCCAAGTAAAGTCTGACGCCAGGCAGCCTTGGCTTGGAGGCCTTACGTTTGGGACCTGAGGAAATGTCTGACTAAGACATCATGTGTGAGTTATCTAGAGAAGTGGAAAAAGCAGTCTGGACAGGCATTCTGCCGGAAGGAAATCAACATGGATTTACCTATGAGTTCATACGTTCAAAACTGCAGTCTTGAAGCAAAGTCCTTTCCCTGTGTTTAAGGAAGGGGAAAGGGTGAGCCAAAAGCAAGACATGTGATATCATGATCATGAGATCTTTAGGTCGAAGCAAACCGAATAGGTTTCGTTCTGCAGCAACTTCCACATCTCAACGCCGAGCCATTCAGCACCGGATAGCCTTGGCTTTTCTGCGCTTTGCTTTTTCCTTTTTAGCCATGCAGATACAGATGATGCAGCCGATGCAGCAGATGCAGCCACGCTTGGTGCTGCAGCAGGCTGTGCTCAAGCAGCCAGCGGTGCTGTCGCATGCGCGGCCAGCGCAGCCGTGGCTTGGACAGGTGCATCAGCTTGGTCAGTTGAATCCTGCGCGGCCCATGGCGATGCCAGTGGCGATGCCAGTGGCGATGCCAACGCCCATCGTGAAGGCCGTGGTCAAGCCCGTGGCCAGGCCATTACGTTGGGTTTATGCTGCCCCTATGCAGCGCAACCAAATCAACCAAGGACGCACCAATCAGGTGGTCCTCCGATGCCAAGAGCTTGTGGCGACGAAGGTGATGGCTCCAGAACAGAAGGAGCTTCCCAAGGAGCTTCCCAAGGAGCTTCCCAAGGAGCTTCCCAAGGAGCTTCCCAAGTTGGGGATGCCCCATCGACTTTTAAGTTTTTTGGGAATTTAGCCTCTTCCGGTTTTGTCAAGAGTCAAAATGATCAAAATGTTAATTTGTTATAATTTGTTCATATTTGTTCCAGTTGGTTTGCCTCCCACGCAAAGCAGGTGGTGTCCATGCAGGTGAAGCCACGGCGCAAAGAGCTCCCGCTGATTGAGGGTCAAGTCCCCAAAGATGCCGGTGTGGATGGCATGCACCCAATCGATTTCAAAGCGTTTTGGGAGCAGAGCCTCTTCAAGTTTTTGTCAAGTATATAATAGTTAATTTATGTTCATTTGTTCCAGTCGCCTTCGCCGCAAGCCTGCAAGCCTTGGGTTCCAAGAGATTCTCTCATGATCTCTCATGTTATTTTACCCCATGGGAGGTACAGTATGTATGGCATTGCTTTTGCATTGGTTTTGCATGTTTTGGTTTCACAAAATAAATCAAAATAATGCGGCTCTAGTGAGACTAAGCCCCAAGAATTTTAGAATTCTTTGGTGTGTCCAAGCTATTCAAAGCTTAGGAATCAGCAAAATATGATTGTGGTCGACCTGCGCGGGCAAGATCGAGCAAGCGGAGCAATTCCAGGCACGGCACACATCCCGGCCATGGATTTGCTGAAAGAGATCGGGACGTACGTGGAGAAGTTTCAGCACCAGCCGATTGTGGCATTTTTTTGCCAATATTCGGCGCATAGGGCTCCGACAGTGGCTTGATGCATTTGTAGCAATACACTGTTTTTGTTTTTGGTTTCAATTGGTTTACCACCCTTCAAAAGCATTCAAAAGCGACATTTTCCGGAGGGGAAAACCAAAGCAACAAGGTCGCCAACTTCTTCAGAAAGAGCTGCCCGTCCAAGCAGCGCGTCGTGGTGCTTGAAGGAGGCTTCAGGGGATGGGAGGCCCATGACCTCCCTATCCAGCAGATGGAGACGACAATGTCTCAGATGGCGTGTGACCAGCTGGCCTTGAAGATTGGCCAGAATGTCTCGAAGGTCAACTGATGAGCTTTCATGACCAGCCACAGTCGAATACCTGCCCAATCATTGTCTATGGCAATCACAGTTGAATACCTGCAGTCAATTGCAGTCAGTATCACCCCTGGGTCGAGGCCAACATTGCTTCACCCACAAAACGCTGAAGCGCAGAGAACTGTAGAAAACAGAGTGGTCAGTCACGATTAGTCAAGGTTGGTCTGACATGGTGTCGAGTCTTTTTTTGGTTCCTTGTGGCGTTGTGGCTGACGGCCATCATAAGATCACAAGCAGCGCGCCATTTTGAGACGAAAGCAGATTCCCGGCTGAGGTGGACATTGCAATATCATGCAAGATCTACCGCTCCTCAGCCGAGTGCTTTCAGCTACCTGAGGCCCCAGACGGGGCCACGGCACTCGGAGGTTTGCCTTGGTCGGGCTGGCTGGGTGGTTTGAAGATGTTTCAAATTTATTGCATATTTGACATGTCAATCATTTGAAGGATATGATTATGTGCTTAATTAATCAATATTTGCCTAATAACAGAGGCACTGCCTGTTGCATCTGTTGCGCCCAGCCCAAAAGCAGCCAGGGTATAGCGATGTGCCATGATCGACTAGTGCATACTCATGACATCTCATGACGATGGTGGTGATGATGATGGTGACGACGATGATGATCCTTTCAGGTTTAAGACGGGTTTGGCATGTTTTGCCAAGTTGAGTCTGATGCCAAGTATGAACTGCTATGCGTATGTACCCATGATCATGATGATGATGATGATGATGATGACGACGACGACGACGACGATGACGATTGCGATTGCGATTGCGATGACTTGCTATGATTTGCTGTTTTTTGCCAAGCAAAGTCTGACGCCAGGCGGCCTTGGCTTGGAGGCCTTACGTTTGGGACCTGAGGAAATGTCTGCCTAAGACATCATGTGTGAGTTATCTAGAGAAGCGGAAAAAGCATTCTGGACAGGCATTCTGCAAATAAACAATCAGCATGGATTTACCTATGAGTTCATGAGTTCAAAACTGCAGTCTTGAAGCAAAGTCCTTTCCCTGTGTTTAAGGAAGGGGAAAGGGTGAGCCAAAAGCAAGACATGTGATATCATGATCATGAGATCTTTAGGTCGAAGCAAACCGAATAGGTTTCGTTCTGCAGCAACTTCCACATCTCAACGCCGAGCCATTCAGCACCGGATAGCCTTGGCTTTTCTGCGCTTTGCTTTTTCCTTTTTAGCCATGCAGATGCAGATGATGCATCCGATGCAGCCGATGCAGCAGATGCAGCCACGCTTGGTGCTGCAGCAGGCTGTGCTCAAGCAGCCAGCGGTGCTGTCGCATGCGCGGCCAGCGCAGCCGTGGCTTGGACAGGTGCATCAGCTTGGTCAGTTGAATCCTGCGCGGCCCATGGCGATGCCAGTGGCGATGCCAGTGGCGATGCCAACGCCCATCGTGAAGGCCGTGGTCAAGCCCGTGGCCAGGCCATTACGATGGGTTTATGCTGCCCCTATGCAGCGCAACCAAATCAACCAAGGACGCACCAATCAGGTGGTCCTCCGATGCCAAGAGCTTGTGGCGACGAAGGTGATGGCTCCAGAACAGAAGGAGCTTCCCAAGGAGCTTCCCAAGGAGCTTCCCAAAGAGGCCGGGTGTGTTGGGGATGCCCCATCGACTTTTAAGTTTTCTGGGAATTTAGCCTCTTCCGGTTTTGTCAAGAGTCAAAATGATCAAAATGTTAATTTGTTATAATTTGTTCATATTTGTTCCAGTTGGTTTTGCCTCCCACGCAAAGCAGGTGGTGTCCATGCAGGTGAAGCCACGGCGCAAAGAGCTCCCGCTGATTGAGGGTCAAGTCCCCAAAGACGCCGGTGTGGAGGGCATGCACCCAATCGATTTCAAAGCGTTTTGGGAGCAGAGCCTCTTCAAGTTTTTTCAAGTATATATAGTTAATTTATATTAATTTATGTTCATTTGTTCCACTCGCCTTTGCCGCAAGCCTGCAAGCCTTGGGTTCCAAGAGATTCTCTCATGATCTCTCATGTTATTTTACCCCATGGGAGGTACAGTATGTATGGCATTGCTTTTGCATTGGTTTTGCATGTTTTGGTTTCACAAAATAAATCAAAATATTGCGGCTCTAGTGAGACCAAGCCCCAAGAATTTTAGAATTCTTTGCTGTGCCCAAGCTATTCAAAGCTTAGGAATCAGCAAAATATGATTGTGGTCGACCTGCGCGGGCAAGACCGAGCAAGCGGAGCAATTCCAGGCACGGCACACATCCCGGCCATGGATTTGCTGAAAGAGATCGGGACGTACGTGGAGAAGTTTCAGCACCAGCCGATTGTGGCATTTTTTTGCCAATATTCGGCGCATAGGGCTCCGACAGTGGCTTGATGCATTTGTAGCAATACATTGTTTTTGTTTTTGGTTTCAATTGGTTTACCATGGTTGACCACCCTTCAAAAGCATTCAAAAGCGACATTTTCCGGAGGGGAAAACCAAAGCAACAAGGTCGCCAACTTCTTCAGAAAGAGCTGCCCGTCCAAGCAGCGCGTCGTGGTGCTTGAAGGAGGCTTCAGGGGATGGGAGGCCCATGACCTCCCTATCCAGCAGATGGAGACGACAATGTCTCAGATGGCGTGTGACCAGCTGGCCTTGAAGATTGGCCAGAATGTCTCGAAGGTCAACTGATGAGCTTTCATGACCAGCCACAGTCGAATACCTGCCCAATCATTGTCTATGGCAATCACAGTTGAATACCTGCAGTCAATTGCAGTCAGTATCACCCCTGGGTCGAGGCCAACATTGCTTCACCCACAAAACGCTGAAGCGCAGAGAACTGTAGAAAACAGAGTGGTCAGTCACGATTAGTCAAGGTTGGTCTGACATGGTGTCGAGTCTTTTTTTTGGTTCCTTGTGGCGTTGTGGCTGACGGCCATCATAAGATCACAAGCAGCGCGCCATTTTGAGACGAAAGCAGATTCCCGGCTGAGGTGGACATCTCTTTGCAATATCTACCGCTCCTCAGCCGAGTGCTTTCAGCTACCTGAGGCTCCAGACGGGGCCACGGCACTCGGAGGTTTGCCTTGGTCGGGCTGGCTGGGTGGTTTGAAGATGTTTCAAATTTGTTGCATATTTGACATGTCAATCATTTGAAGGATATGATTGTTAATATTTGCTTAGTAACAGAGGCACTGCCTGTTGCATTTGTTGCGCCCAGCCCAAAAGCAGCCAGGGTATAGCGATGTGCCATGATCGACTAGTGCATACTCATGACATCTCATGACGATGGTGGTGATGATGATGGTGACGACGATGATGATCCTTTCAGGTTTAAGACGGGTTTGGCATGTTTTGCCAAGTTGAGTCTGATGCCAAGTATGAACTGCTATGCGTATGTACCCATGACCATGATGATGATGATGATGATGACGACGACGACGACGATGACGATTGCGATTGCGATGACTTGCTATGATTTGCTGTTTTTTGCCAAGTAAAGTCTGACGCCAGGCGGCCTTGGCTTGGAGGCCTTACGTTTGGGACCTGAGGAAATGTCTGCCTAAGACATCA